TCCCCGCCAGCGCCTTCAGATCCCCCTGGAGCTTCTTGATGATGCCGTTGGCCTGAGAAATTATGTCTGTGAGTAGGCTTGCCGCGATAGACGGTGCTGACGGTGATACCGGTGTTAAGCCGCAACACCGGTTACGTCACTTGCCCATAGAAAATTTCCTCACCGTCACAACCCTATCTGTGAGACGCATTCATCTGGACTTAAAATAGAAATGATTTTCTTTTAAAATCGACTCAAACCTTGATGAGCTCCTCCGACAGGGATTGTACCGCGGCCTCCAGCTTGCTGATTTGAACTTGCTTACTTTCAACATTTCCTTCGACAGAGTTCTAGCAAAGAAACAGAAAATTATAAACATAAAATAAATAAAATGACATCCATTTCATATTTCATGCCAAAAATGTTTTTTTTTTTTTTAAATACTATAAAAAAGAATTACATTTCATTTATTTTTGCACAATGCTAATGAGAACCGTCACCTTCTGCTTCTGTGTGGCCTCCAGCACTTCCATAATGCTAATGAGAATTGTGGGCAATGCGTTCACCTTCTGCTGCTGTGTGGCCTCCAGCACCTCTTTGGTCCGCAGCACGAGCTGCTCTTTATCTTTGATCTCCTGCTCTAAGACGGCCACTCGCGTCTGCAGCTGGTTGACCAGACGCTCTTTCTCGTGGCATTCGGTGTCGAGGGTGCTGTTCTCTCTCCTCAACGACAGAACCTGCTGCTTGGACCTCTGACACTCCTGGACAGAGAGGCAAAGATAAAACATCAGACTTCCTCCTGATTTCCAGACCACATCCTTCTGAAGAAACCTCGCACCTCTTCCAGGCTGGCCAGTTTGGCTTTAAGGTCTCGAATGGTGGAGTCGCTCTTGTATTTCTTGTCGATGAGCTCTCTGTTGGCCGTTTCCAGCTCGGAGACTTTGGTTTGGAGCTGCTGGGTGCTTCTGTGATGAGACGACTCAAGTTCCTGTCGCAGCTGTTCGTTCTGCTGCTGCAGACGGGCTTGTGTCTATTAAATACAATTAACACAACAAATCAGTGCAGCAAGCTCATTACTTTGTGAAGGGTTAAAATGAGAAATAAATACATTTAAAAGCTTTTCTAACACACATACACACACATATACATTACATTCTAGGGATGTAATGATTACCGGTTTGACGATAAATCGTGATAAAATTCCACACGGTTAGTATTACCGTTTCATATTTTAATTATCATTAAAACCGTATTAGATTACCGCGATTTGAACAACTCACGATAAATAAATACTGTCCAGCACTAATTTCATTTAATTTTTCTTAAATGTGGATTCTACACATTTGAACAATTCAGATAAACTATCTAGAATTATTTATGGAGCAGATAAAATACATATAATCATCTATTAATCAATTATCATTTTGGGAAATTTTCATACCGTTACATCCCTATTACATTCATACATATACATACATACATGTACACATTTTTATAACACTATTTATAACACGTGTTTGCTGCGTTGAGCAATGTAGCCAATCACAGACATATCTATTGATTTCAGGAACGCAATGGCCAATCAAAGGTGTTTAAGTTAGAATCCACTCACCGCTCAAAAGTTCTTGCAGTGCTGAAAATTGCGTGTTTCTTACAAATCATCTCATTATTACACACGAAGTGCAGACATTATGGAAGATTCATTGTGCATATATTGTGTTATAACAGAGCTTTATGAGATCGCGATGAACTGAGATGTCAGTTTTTAGTGATAATATGGGAGCGCTGCTCGCATTCTGCCATGCCAAACCATGCACACCGCAGCATTTATTTTTAATCAGGCTCGTATTGAATTAACATTTTACTTAAATTAAAATTCATTAAAACTAAACATCTAAAAAGAAAGAAGTTCTTGCTTAGAATCCAGAGTTTAGCTGACTAGTATTAGTAGGATGGTGGTCACAAAAAGTAAAACCATGGTCCTCATTACCATGGTTAGATGGTTTTTAAAATAAATAATAAGTAATAATAATAACGTTTGTCAGCGCTGTGCGGGAGACTGATTCCGCTCTGCTTTGACGCGCGGCTGGCGGATGCATCGGGTAGCGCTGTTTCACACCTTCAGAGTATTTGCTTTATGTGGTTTCGCATTCGCTGTAATTTAAGGACAGCGCCTAATATCGGGGAGGTCTCCCTCGCTTCGGCGATCGGCCCACTACTTGAATGGAATGTCCCGGTGCTTCCGATGGCCAATAGGCGATCGCGGGCCCCCCAGACCTCTGGGCCCTATGCACTCTGTCACCCTTTCCTTCCGCCCCCCCCTTTCCACTAGCAACGCCCCTGGTCGTGATTACGAGCACGTTGCATTCTTTACTGTTAAAAATAACAGTGAACAGTGGTTTGTGAATGTTGATGCTTAGCCTAAATAATTTTCATGTGAGCGCTGCTGCAGTCTTAGGCCCTCCCCAAATGCTCTCATTGGTTGAGACGAGTGATGACACCCATCCCAAGCCAGTACTGATCAACATCACACCCCTCCTGTGACCCATGGTTTGTCTGTATGTGTATTCAGAGCCAGTGAGCAACGGACTTTCAAAATAATTATAAAAAATGTGTGATAAAATAATTGTTGGCATTAGTTAATTAATGCGTTAACGCGATAACGTGCTAACTTGCCCAGCCCTAATATATATATATATATGTGTGTGTGTGTGTGTGTGTATATATATATATATATAATAAAATTAAGATAGAAATACGAAAAACAAATAACTGAATAAAATAAAAATAAATTTAAATGTAAATAAACAAACTAAGAAAAAAAACTAAATATAAAAATAAACAAAATAAAAAATAAAGATGAAAACAAATAAAGATAAAAGATAAAAGTACATAAACAAAAAATGTAAATAAATACATCAATTAAGAAATAAAAATAAAATAGATAAATGAAAATATAAATAAAATAAATAGAAATTAGAAAAAAATAATTAACAGAATAAAATTAGAAACAAAAATAAATAAATTTAAATATAAAAAATACCTAAAGATAAAAATAACTAAATAAGCAAAAGAATAAACAAACAAAACAACAATAAAAAGAAAAACAAACAATAATAGATAATAAAATACATTAAGAAATAAGATAAACTCGAAAAATAGACAAAAAAAAACAAAAATTTTTAAATCAACTCAAATTCCAATATAAATATCTAAAGACAAAAAACAATAATACTACAACTAAACTAAACTTAACTAAAACACAAGATAATAAAATAAATATAAAATAAGAAACAAAAAACTAACGAAAATATATAAAGATAAAAAATAAATACAACTAATAAATATGATTGATTGATTGCTATGATGAATTCAACACTGAAATGCCCATATCAGCTGGATGTTGGGTTACCTCGAGAGCTTTTTCACGCTCAGCTGTGAGATCTTGCATGTGTCTGCTGGACAGAGAGGTCGTTTGCGATGTCCATTCAGATCGCAGTTTGTCCAACTCTCGACTTTTCTCAGACAGGGTCTGGAGGATAAATAAAAGTGTATAATTATAATAATAATAACAATAATAATAAGTTCACTTCGAAGAGGAATCTAGAATGTGGCTTACTTGCTGCGCATAATTTAGCTGTCTTGTCAGATCTTCCTCAGTCTTTCTCAACTTCTGTTCCAACTGCTGCTTTTCCTCCTGAAAAAACACCCAAAAAACAAAGACGCATTACAGATTCATTCATTAAAAACAAGCAGGATTACGACATACATATTCTATTTGTAGTCCAAGCCCGTGATGAGTTTCACCTTTACGGTGGACAGACAGGTGGCCAGATACTTCTTAATATCTGTATCAGATCCCGGCAGCAGTTTCAGAGAGAGATGCGTGAGGTGTTTAAAAGCGTTCGTCTCCACAATGTTAAGGTTTGAAGGACTGTGATCGAACGCTGATGAAGCCGACGTGAGCTGCAAGAGAAACCTGAACACAAACAGACAGAAACGGTTCGCACAACCAATACGCATTAACAGGAGATATAAAAGCGATAAAATCTAGATAAACTCTCACCGTGGGTTTTCTTTGTCCTGTTCAAAGATGCACTGCTCAAGCAAGTCGATAAATTTTTGTGGGAATGATGTGAAGTCAATTAAAAGCCCTTGTTGTACCTTTAAACTGTGAAGGAAAGCGAATATTGATTATTACATTGAAAACTGCACACCGAAGTAAAATATTTAAATTAAATATGGACCAATATTATATTTAAAAAAAAAATCACAATACCTCTGAAAATCTTCCTCTGATATGACAAGGTTGTATAAAAAGTAAAGATCAGTATCATCTGTCAGCCGTACAACCAAATCCTGTTAATAAAAATAAAGTCAAAATACCAAATAACATTATTTAAATACATAACTAATGATGTATAAATGACAATTTCTCACCTTTCTATGGACAGGATTTGATGATGGCTGCAGTTCAATACTGATACGAATGAATGAACGTCTGTGATTAAAAAAGCATCATAAATAATCACATTTAGACCCTTAAGAACCTCCAAAATCAAAATTCTATAACATACAAAACAATTAATGAATTAACAAACCCAAAACACACATTTAGGTCATATTTATGTTTAAAACACATACATATACAATCGGTTTTACCTCTCATCGGTATCTCTATTCTTCACAAGCACCTGTAACCTCTTGTTAAAAAGTAATTCCGTCATTTCGAGTTCATATAATAACCCCCAAAGCGATATTAATCATAAAAATAGCGGTTTATTCGTGTTTTTACGCTGGTGAATGAATCATTTGCTGGTTTGTTTTCTCGCGCTTCGCTCCCGCGTTTGTCCGTTTCTCACCGGATATGCCGAGGGCCTCAACCTAATCCCGCATATGATCTTATCTCAGCATGTTTATGTTTTTTTACGATATTAGAAATTAAATACGAAACTTTCAGGTTGTGTTTAATCTCTATCTGTGGGTATTTAAAGATGATAAAATTAAACATATTTTCTGTCAAGGTTCACCGGCGCGTGTTGTGATTGGTCGAGAGGCAGGCGTCAAGCGTCTACGCAGAGTGGGCGGGGCGTACAGGAGTTTTGAACATGGCGGTGAGTAGCGCAAACGTTTCCTCACCGTTCACTTTATAAACGCTTCTATGGACGCGTGGCGTTTACAAACAAACACACATATAAACACACAAATGTCTTGTGGGCTCTTAAAGTTTAATTTTACAAACTAGAGCCAGCTGGTTATTGTAAATGTGATGTATTGTGTTGTGTATTATTGCGCTAAGCTACATGGTCTGATATTATATTATACAGGCCTGTAATATTTTATATATAATCCGTGGTCTTGGTTTGCAGGATAAAGAGAAGAAAAAGAAGGAGAGTATTTTTGATTTGTCGAAATACATCGACAAACATATAAGAGTAAAGTTCCAAGGAGGTCGTGAAGGTGAGACAGTTGCTTTATGAGATAAATTAGGGGTTTAAATAATATAATGACATTATATTATGCTTAATTAAGTTACGTTGAATTTAACATTCATTGTTTTCTATTTTCAGCAAGTGGGGTCTTAAAAGGCTTCGACCCGCTGTTGAATCTTGTGTTGGATGGCACCACTGAATACATGCGAGGTAAAATCTCCAGACAGATTGTGAAATAAATAATAAAAAATATATTTTATTTTGATACATTTTTAGCTATATTTATTTTAATTGTTTATATTTTTATTCTAATCAAATAGTTAATAAGATTCAAGTTTTAATGTTTATTTATTTTAATACTTTTTTTTTTTTTTTTTTACATTTTAATCATTATGCATGATTCGATCACATCCTTTTTACGCAGATCCTGATGATCAGTATAAACTGACTGAAGACACCAGGCAGCTCGGTCTGGTTGTATGTCGAGGGACGTCCGTCGTGCTGATCTGTCCACAGGACGGGATGGAGGCCATTCCGAACCCTTTCATTCAACAGCAAGATGGATAACATTATGCCTTTTTTTCTTGCATTGTATAGATGTCTGGTGAAGAAAATAGATGGTTTTTGTTAGGTCTGAAATCATGAAAAATACATTTTGTATTTAGACTCAGGATAAGTGTTTTTGGTTGGTTTTGTTTCTGTGGTTTATGAAACTCTTTTTTTGTGTGTGTTGATTATGGTTTGAATTATAAGGCTTGCTTTCTGTTCATGAAAATGGGTGCGTGATGTTGCCCTAGTTCTTTCAGTGTTGTTTTATTAATTTAGACATTAATAAACATCTAGGATGTAACCATTTCTAAATTAAGCAAAAACAAAGATGATGCCTGTACCTCAAGGGTGGATCCCACAGGATTACCTTCTCAGAAGGCTTTTGTACACACACAAACAGTTGAACATTCAGCAAGCTTTCAGTGAACATCTTTGTATAATCTAAATGGAAACTGTATTTTGAAGGTCTTCGGTTCTGAGACACCTTGAGAAAACATTTGTGTTTACCTTTGTGGTGTCGTCTCCTCTGTTTTACACTCGCAAAACTAATTCCTAAGATTAAAGACTCAGTTATGGACCCTTCCCTATTTGGGAGAATGTTTTTCTTAAGAACATGCATACACTTTATTACACTTGCTTACTAGTGGATCCTCTGCAGTGAATGGGTGCCGTCAGAAAGACAGTCCAAACAGCTGATAAAAACATCACAATAATCCGCAAGACTCCAGTCTTATAAAGTGAAAAAACAAATCCATCATTAAGGTGTTTTAACGTTACCTCTGGCAAAAACATGAGTCTAATCCATAATGACTCTTCCTCCAGTGAAAAAGTCTATCTGTTGTTTTTTCACATCAAAATCCACAAACATTTGTTTAGAACCGTTTCGGACTGTTTTTGCTTGTAAAATGTGATCGATCTGTGCATATTTCTCTCCTGATTCAGATTAGATGACTTTTTCACTGGAGAAAGCAATAATATGGATAAAGAACTTGTACTTTAGCCAGAAGCAATGGTTTGAAGTTAAAAATGTCTTAATGATAGATGTGTTTCTTACAAACATGCAACTTTTCACTTCACAAGATATTAACTGATGGACTGGAGTTGTATGGATTATTGTGACGTTTTTAATCAGCTGTTTGGACTCTCATTCTGACGGCACCCATTCACTGAATTTGATCCATTGGTGAGCAAGTGACATTTCTCCAAATCTCATAAAGAAACAAACCCATCTACATCTTGAATGGACTGAGGGTGAGTACTCAAAAAAGAAAATTGGCTGAAAATGTAAACAGTTTCTTTAAAGCATAACAGAAGAACTACTCTCACATACACTCAAATCATGTTTTTCTATAACCTTCACTAAAAGCTTGGAAACAAAGGGTTTTCCACCAAGAAGAGAGCTTTTTTGATGGATATCAGATTAGCCATTCATGCTTCTTAGCACAGCCACAAAGCCCTGCTTTAAACTTTCAGGATTGACTTTAAGTGGGAAACAGCATGTACAGCAATATACTAGTGAGATCCAGTATAGTTTCCACTCTGATATTTAATGCAATACGTGTGTGGTAATTGAGATTTGTTGGTCCCTCCATTTGTGATGGTAGTTTTCTAGCAGTTATGAATGAAAGGCTCAGTGTGTCTTGCCTCGCTGGTGCTCTTTTGAACAGCAGGACTTTCCAGATTTTATCAGTGCGCACTGGCACCCAAGTCTGGGCTTTATTGGGTAACACAGTTATAGTGGTTCAGGGTCTGTTAACTGATGGTTAACTTTAGAGGGGTCTGTAAGAGGAGCTGCTGTATGAAGCCACGCCAACTCTTAATACTTATCCAGGTCAGTAGAAGTCTGAGGCGCGGTGGGCTAGTGTGGCAAGTTGCATTTCATGCATTTCATTTTGCACAGTAGAGATTAAACCTATGAGGTTAAAAAATAGGAAATAATGAGGTAAAAAAGTAATAAAAATTTATATATAAATAAAAAATAACATTTGACAAACAGATTTATCAGCTAAAATAGCCTACATTCTACAAGCATGAAACATGGGAAAACATCAATGTATAATAAAATAAGTAATATATATAAGAAACAACAAAAATAAAAAAGCTATAAAAGCTATAAAAAATCTAAATAAAAATGAACAGATATAAACAATAATAAAAACTCAGAAGTAGATTTGTTAGAATACATTTTACGAACTAAAAGATATAAAATATAACAGAATAAGTAATATAAAAAGATACAAATAAGGACATAAACAGAGAAGAGAAAATGACACGAAGCGTTTGATAGATAGATAGATAGATAGATAGAAATTTTTAACTATTTGAAGTATAAGCTTCTGGTTTTGTTTTGGATTTTTCCCCCCATTTAACCCCTCCTAAGAACAACAACTATTATTTCTCTAAATCTCTTAGAAGTCTTAAAGTAATATTGTGAGAAATATTTGAGGATTTTATTATACAAACAACAGTTTTATGTGGACAACGCAGCACCGACCAATCAAACACGAGATCCCGCCCTCACCTGTGAAGCCCCGCCCACTGGCAAGCCTACCGCATAACAGTACTGGGTTCTATATAGTCTCCAAACGTATCTTGAGGTTTATTCGGACGTCAACGTAAAGATCAGATGCCTCAGTGACCAGATGCTGTCTGAAACGGTGAGTAACAATCGATTCAACACTACGTAACTAGTTATTGGTGCGTGACTGTGCCAGAAGTTATTACACACAGTCAGTTTTAATACTCTTTGCCTTACTTTGTATAGAGTTCCTCAGAATAGTATTTTTTTAACTGCAGTCACGTAAAATATCTATTTTTATTATGTTAAAAACGAAAATATTATTGTATTGCATTATGTAATTGGTCGAATTGTGATTGCTATTTATTATAGCTATTTTATATTTCACACTATTGCACTGTTTTTTTTCTTCATGCAAGCATGCACATAATAATTTTGCAATTTAGGTTTTAACTGGCATATATAGTGAGCATACTCCTACTGTTATTAGCATGCATTTTTGTAGTTGTTGTGACCTGAAATCATAAGTATTCTATATCATATTTTTCTTTCATTTCAAATATTTTATCCATTTGATTATATTCTAGATTAATTGGAGTATATTGTATTGTTTTCTCAAGCTGTATGCCAAAACCTGCCTTTTTATTTGATACTGTTGCATTGTTGTTGGCAAGCATGCAAATAATAGTTTTAATTGGCATTTATCATCTGTTTGATGTCGATATATGTAATGAGAGAGTTGTTGTGGCATTTACAACCCTGAAGTGAAAAGTAACTATATCAATATATTCTGGAACAGCACGTTTCATATTTCTGTGTGATAACATTTCCGACTCGACAGAGGTTTGGTTTGGCTTCTCGGAACCACTCCTAGTATTGTCTCATTCTATGGCTGGTGAACTAATACTTTGGCATCCCACGAGATGATTTTCAGTGTCGGCACCCAAGGGAGTCGCTAATGCTTTTGAGCTCTTAAAAACCCAATCCTGTTTTTACCTGGTCATCTGTCTGTATTTCTTACCTCCATGTGTTCTTGTGTTTTACAGTTTGGATGTCCAGGTTGTGTTGCAGGTCTTTGTATAGACTGAAATGGAGAAGAAAGACTTGAATAAGTGGCCCGAGGGTGATCCACGGCCAGCTTACCTCTCCACTTGCAAATGTATGACTTTAGCTGCCATACTGATTCTTCTCATCATTGGGGCTGCTGTGGGATTTATGACAGGTGAACTCGATATATATTTTGTAGTCATTTGTACAAACAATCAAAATATTATGATACTGATGGAAACCAACCTTGTTTTCCCTGTTTAGCTTATTTAATACAAGAGGAACATTATTTCATGGAAACAGTGGAATTGGAAGGTCTCAGTTATGATCCAGATCTGCGAGATAAAACATCAGGTTTCTATGTAGTTCTGACTGCGACTCTGAAAGAAAAGGTACGACCAGAAGACATGAATGCTAATGTGCTCAATTTATTAGTTATTTCAAAACAATAAAATGCAGATGTAAAAAGGGTTTTGCTGTCTTCACTATTTTACAGATCAGGAATATCTTTAGTGCCTCTGCAGTGGCAAGTCACTTTATTGACTGCCAGATAGTTGCATATGGGTAGGTACACTGCTTACATAAAATTAGCTGAAACTGTACTTACCATCAGACCATCCAAGATGTAGAAGAGTTTGTTTCTTCATCAGAACACCAATTCATCACATCACATCACTTGCTCACAAATGGATCCTCTGCAGTGAATGGGTGCCTTCAGAATCAGATGGTAAAAACATCACAATAATCTGCCATCACACTTTAACTGGAGAAAGTGTTATTATGGATTATGGACTGTTATTTCACCCAGAGCGATGATATAAAGTTAAAACGATTTAATGATGGATTTGTTTCTTACAAACATGCAGCTTTTCAGTTCACAAGACATTAACTGATGGGCTGGAGTGGTGAGGATTACTTGTGGATTATTGTGATGTTTTTATCAGCTGTTTGCACTCTCCTTCTGATGGCACCCATTCACTGCAGATGATCCATTGGTGAGCAAGTGATGTAATGCTACATTTCTCCAAATCTGTTCTCATGAAGAAATAACTCATACTATCTTTGATGGCCTGAGGGTAAGTAAATTATTAGCAAATAAAAATGTTTGGGTTAACTATTCACATGGTGGGGAATTATGGTATTTGTTTAAGAGTCTGTGATATCTTTCAGGAATGCCAACACAAATGTTTTGACCTCTCTACGTTTGGTCTTCCGGATCTCTCAAGTCCAGGGGTATACAGAGAGTTTTGTTCAAGACCTCCTCCGCTCTGGATTTAAGGCCATGTTGAATGGGAAACCCATTGTTATCCCAGATTATGGAGAGATCACTAGCATCATCCTTCTTGGTACGCCAGTTTCCTTTTTTTCTCTTAAAAAAAAATGAATTAAAAAACCAGTCAATAATAGTGTTATTTTGACCTATTTTATAATTCCAGGAGCAAGTGGAAAGTCATTCTATGAGATTGGGAATGACATAAGTAAGATAATATATTATTGATCACATTTGAAGGTTTATTGTAAACTTAGAGTGCTCAGATTTGTTTGTTATTTATGGCAGGTAAATGTCCTGAGAACACATTCACTTGTGACAATGGCGAGTGCATCACAAAAACAAATCCAGAATGTGACTCTATAACCGACTGTGTTGATGGTTCAGATGAAACCTTTTGCTGTAAGTGTCACCATCTTGCTATTATGCTAACACTTGAACTAGCTGTTAGTTTCCTTTTTGTAAGTTTAAGAACTTTTTTTGCTGTAAGTAATGTCTTTGACATTTGACATTTTAGTATCAAAATAGTTTAAAGGAGTGGAACATGTATTTATAGTTGTGCTTGTTAAGGCAAACATCACAATCACCAAGGGTTAGTCATTTGAACAAACCACAAATCCTAATTAAATGTACATAATATTGGTACACATTTGAATGATATGTCAAATTGTGCAGCATAATGAGACAATGTGTGCTATTAGTCTTCTATGGATTTCCACCCAATGGACAGAAAATAAAAAAATCAATAGACTTAAATTTAAGATGTACACAAGCTATATCTAGGGACAAGAATTGCACAGAGACCAGAAGCCACCTATAAACCAACCAGGACAATCTAGAAATCACCAAGAATACCATTGGAAATGTATAGAAACATGTTAAAGGCACTACAAACACGTTAGCAACCAAAGAACCATAGAATTGTAGTGGCTAGTTTTAGCTTAATTTATGTTCTTTGATTGTTAACCACTGTTTCTCTTATAGCCTGTGGAACACGTCCAG